CCAGTATCATGCTGCTTCCTCCAAAATATGTTTAAAGAATCATGTTTCTCCTCATGCGCATCGTGCCTGACTGATTGGTATATTATTATAGATATGTTTCAGCAAGAGACTTCAAACTATTACCTGATGCAGCAGGTGTGAAAAAAGTCTAGACTGCTGAACTGTGTGGAGCAGCCCTAGGGATAGAAGTGGCCTGCTCCCATGGGGCAAGGCTATCCATTGGAATAGGATAGCTGCTTGAGTCACTCCTCTGCAAGCTGCTCCTGAATGGAATGCTGCCACAGTGCTGTTGTGCCTCTCCATCACTTTCTTCCTCTACTATCTCTGGCACCCAGGTACCATCTACCACCTTGTCAGCCCCACCCTCCTCATTGCTTCAGTCCATTGGTAGTAAGCTGCAGCTGCAGGAACATCAGTGGTAATTGTTTCTCCTTGCTTGTTGTGCCCTCCCTCCATGCTCCTAGGGCTCTCTTCTTTAACATTCAATAACAAGAATTCTTGTGCATCCTCTACTTCAAGTTATTGATGTTGTGCTGAAGTTATAAATCTGACTCAGCCAGTTTGTGGGGCGATGATGGGATTAACAGTGTAGGAGGAGAAGGAAGAGCTGCTGTCACCTACCCTCCTCACCTTTAGGCGCACCCTGAAAACCCATCTCTTCAGAGAAGCCTACCCTGCCCTCACCTAATTGCCCATCTCCTCCACTCTTCCCTCCACTCCATCCCCCACAGCTATTTCCTCCTGTACCACTTTCCCCTCCCTCCTAGATTGTAAGCTCCAAGGAGCAGGGCCCTCAAACACCTCGTGTAGTGTATTGTAATTGTATTGTTACTGTGCTGTCTCGTGTACTGTCTCCCATTATAATGTACAGCGCTGAGCAAACTGCTGACGCTATATAAATACTGTATAATAATAATAAAATAAAGCTGAACCTTAAAACATTAAACCCCCATATTTTTTCTTTTTTGTATTAACATTACCTACTAAAAGTAAAAAGTAAGAAAAATGTAAAGTAAAAGAAAAGACAATAAAAATATAAAATACGAACATTGCAAGGGAGGACCAACAGCTGAACAGCAACTAAAGATGACACACTGGAACACAGAAAACAGCCCCTAAAAGGGACTATTGGGTTCATGCACTGTGAACACAGAAGGGGTACACAATTTTATATAGCTCACCACACTACAATTCACAGTATTGTAGCACAATACAGAATACATAAACACAGAGGGTACACACCATGTAGCCCACGACACTGCTATTCACTGTAATGTACAAAAGAGCACTTTTATCAGTACTGTATATAGCACTCTTAAGCACTGTACAACAACAGCTATTTCTCCCTAAAAACACTCTGTCAGCTCTCCCTATTGATTTCAGGGCTCTCTAACATACACAAGCACAAAAGACTGCTTGGACCCCTGACTTTTATAGGGGAGCTTAACACATATGAAAATCCCCATTATAAGCACCTGACGACAGTTCAAGGACAAGAAAGTTTATTGCTGGTAAATGGTTTGTATGGCGATGAACAACTGCATTGATTAGCCATTTTTCCAAATTGTAAATTACTTTGGGTTGAAATCATGTTCAACCTGAACCTGATGCTTATCCCTTTCCACAGTATCTCTCTCTGGATTAACCTATTGATTTGCCATTACCACTGGCTTTCCCAATTGATCTATAGCTCTCTGCATCCGAAGTTCCACTCAGGTCCCACTTGGGAAAAAGCATCTTTCTTGCCCAGAGATTTCTTCAGCTCTTCCTAGTCAGTATTCACAACCCATAATAGGAACATGGACATCTAAAGAGAGACTAGAAGAAAGAAGACTCAGGACCCAGCATGTCACATGACCACAGCTTTGGATTCGGATAACAGATAGATCCAAATTTCATTCCATTCATTAATTCTGATGCATATGGCAACAGTCGATATTGTCCAATAGGCTCATGCCATTTCTCTTGGTGGGTTGGACTAGTGTCTGAAAATATTGAATCCTTCCGGTTATAATCTGTCCAATCCAATAATATATCAAATATATAGCAATCTTCAGGAAAACTGCAAAGTTTTTAAATCCACTCTGAACAACGAATATACAAAATGAATGCTAAAGATATGAAATCGCAAAAATTATTCGGTTCAACATAATGAATATGACAAAACAAAATTTTTCAATGAATGAATGGAACAAAAATTTCCGGAGTGCACATGTCTATTGATAATGCTGTTTATTTGCTTGTCAGCTTTAAAGTAAAGGCCTGATTAACTATAGTGGATAGTGAGATGAAGTGGCTGTGTATACACTTCAAGCACTCAGTGATGTGAGATCTGTTTTTCTGGATTTCCCTGCACGTTTAGCATATGTACAGTACAAGTTAACGTCATCTTTTAATTATAGTACATCAGGCCCGGGATCACATCACCTGACCTATTGATTCCTGATATATTAAAGCAAAAAAAAAAAATCATAAAATAAAGAAAATGACCTGTTTAATGGTATACAGTATCATAGTGTAAATCTATGCAATGAAATATGAGTCCTAAATCCTGCAAAAGTAGGTCACATAGTGGGTTTAATAGTCTACTAAGATGTACACATGCATGCAAATGGAATATAGAAAATAGAATGCTGTTAGAGTAAGAAGATTAGGAAGACCATAAAAACCTGACTGCATGAATTCCCCATTAGAGTACTTTACAGTCAGACAGTTGAATCTCTTTGTGAAAGTTGATCTCTTGTGAAGTATTCAGAGAGGTTTTTATAAACATTCACAATGTAATCAATTTTAATCAATCATATAATTGATCAATAACTTTTGGAATTTAATAATGTATGGCTAAAATAAGATATCATTTGCCCCTTTTCCATGTCTTATATTTTATTAAGTTTAAAAAATCCCTTGTTTTGTGCTTTCACACTGTCCTTTTTCAGAAGCTGTCACAATTCATTGACTGCACTTTTGATATATGCAGTATATCAATGTTTCCAACGTACTTTTTTTGAAATGTTATTAAAGACAAGTATAGTCATCCAAAAATTCTAGAAGCAATCCCTCACCTGATTGAACTGATTGATAAGGATGATTCCACAAAATTTCAGGAGCCGATGATGCTTTGTGTCCACCCAGCTGCTGTATGTATACAAATGGCCACTGTCTGCAATTACGCAGATCCTACAACGCAGTTATCTTAGGCAAACCTCCAGAGACATTTATCATGTGTCATTGTTAATGCCCTTTTTGGTTGATTTACTGAAATTGGAGCACTCAGAATCTGATGCAGCTGTACATGGTAGCCAAGCAGCTTCTAACTTCAGCTTGTTCAATTAAGCTTTGGCAATAAAACATAGAAGCTGATTGGCCTCTATGCAGAGCTGCATGAGATTTTGCACATTTCAGTTTTAGTAAATCCCCCCCCCCATCCACTTCCCAAGCAGGCCATTGTACATATACGTTCTCGGTTGGAAGTGCAATACCGGTGTTATGGGTGCAGCAATGTGCCATAACCCCGCACGTTTTTTTTTTCAGCCGGTGATCCCCTTTCTCCTAAAAGTGGTCTGAGTGGTGGATATGCTGCTAGATCACTTTTAGAGGCAGCGGGAGGGGATGCCCCCCTCCCAGCACTTTCTGGAGAGTCTCAGGCTTACCTTGAGGATAGGTGAGCCGAGAACCCATCTGAGGGTCATGGCGGCTGGCCATAGAGATGAGTGAAGGAAAGATGGCCTCCGATCATCTCTATGGCCTAGGAGGAGGACCAGAGCGACGTCATTACGTCACTTCTGATTCCGGCCTAATGTAAGCAAGGCCATTTTTTTTTTTTAAAACATTAGATCAATGCTTCTTTTTCTCTAATGCTTTACATTGTAGAGGAGAGATGTGGGGTCCTATTGACCCCAGATATCTCCATAAAGAGGACCTGTCACAGCTTATTTCTATCACAAGGGATGTTTACATTCTTTAGGATAGGAATAAAAGTGATCAAAAACATTTTTTTAAATTTTAAATTGTCCCCGTCCTCACACGCAGTGGTGAATGCATACATAGGTCATTCAGTGGTAAACACTGTTCAAACCACACATGTGAGCGAGAGCAATAATTCTAGCACTAGATCTCCTCTCTAACTCTAAACTGGTAACCTGTAGAGATTTTTAAAATGTCACCGATGGAGATTTTAAAGTACTGTAGTTTGGCATCATTCCACGAACACGCGCAATTTTAATGCATGAGATGTTGAGTATTTATTTACTCGTCATCTTTCATATTTTGCTTTTCACGTAGTTGGATAATTGAAGTAAACAGTCACATGATTTAGTAAATTAGCCTCCACATCTCAGATTAAATAAGTGGGTATTGTGTCCAGAAAGCTTTTTGAACACTTTTGAGATCTGATGGCAGTGAAAGCATGCAGAAGTCTCCTTAGTAACAGGCACCAATATTTCCAGTAATAATGCAGCTGTCTCTCCAATTTAACAAAACATGCTGGTTCAAAAGTGCGATTCATGTATGGTACAATGTTCCAAGTCAATAGAAAATATCTGTAAGAAATACAATAAGCAAACAAAATGGAGGAAAAATAATTCTATTCGTATCAATAAAATTCACAAAGAGTACATAATTCAAATAGAAATACATACTATATAAGATAACTGATATAATTAATCCCTAGACCTAATACAATTTAATAAAATTAATATTAATTACAGATGTTTAAAAAGCTTTAGCTACAGCTGCAGCTTAATATGACTAAAGTTTATGATTCAGGCATCAATCAATATGATACAGTAAATAAATACATATATTCAAAGATAACTCTACTGTATTTAACCCCTTATTGCCAGTGCCTCCCGGCCCTTTAACCGCCTCCCGCCCGCCATATAGTAATATGACGGTTGCAAGGCGGTTCTGTCGTTCTGGGAGGACGTCATATGATGTCCTCCCATTCTAACCGCACATGCGCGGCTCCCGGAGCACTCAGCGCGGCGATCGGCGGTGCACTGTGTCCCTTGGACACAGCAGATCAGAGCCGATGATGTCGGCTCGGTCATGTGATCAGCTGTGTCCAATCACAGCTGATCACATGTAAACAGGGAAATGCCGTTTATCGGCATTTCTCTCCTCACGAGCTGTCACGCTGACAGCTCGAAAGGAGAGGAGAGCCGGTAATCGGCATTCCTCGGAGGGGACATGTACACTGATCATCAGAGCACTGATGATCTGTGTAGCCCCAGCAGCACCACCTGTCAGTGTCCATCAGTGCCAGCTCTCAGTGCTCATCCATGCCACCTGCCAGTGCCACATCAGTGCCACATTTCAGTGCCCATCAGTGCCACATCAATGCCACATATCAGTGCCCATCTGAGCTGCCTTTCAGTGTCACCCATCAGTGCCAGTCAGTGCCACCTATCAATGCCAGTCAGTGCCACCTATCAGTGCTGCCAATCAGTGCCACCTATCAATGCCATTCAGTGCCACCTATCAGTGCCAGTTAGTGCTGCCTATCAGTGTGCATCAGTGCAGCCTATCAGTGCCCGTCAGTCCTGCATATCAGTGCCGCCTAACAGTGCCAGTCAGTGCCACCTAACAGTGCCAGTCAGTGCTGCCTATCAGTGCCTGTCAGTGCCACCTATCAGTGCCATATATCAGTGCTGCCTTTCAGTGCCCATCAGTGATGCCTGTCAATGCCCATCAGTGTCACCTACCAGTGCCTCCACATCAGTGTCTATCAGTGCCACCTATCAGTGTCCATCAGTGCAGTCTATCAGTGCCCATCAGTGTAGCCTCATTAGTGCACATCAGTGAAGGAGAAAAATCAAAAAGAAAAAAATGTTATTTTTTCAAAATTTTCAGTGGTTTTTGGTTTGTTTAAGAAAAAATAAAAAACCCAGAGGTGATTAAATACCACCAAAACAAAGCTCTATCTGTCACAAAAAAATGATAAACACTGTGTTGCATGACCGTGCAATTGTCAGTCAAAATGCAACAGCGCTGAAAGCTGGAAATTGGCCTGGGCAAGAAGGAGGTATAAGTTCCCTGTAGGCTAGTGGTTAAGAGGTTTCTAAGTTGGGATTTGCCAAGTTGGGTGAAGATGTGGGGGTGGCATATTCAGGGGAGGGTAGACCATCTGGGAGGGGTGGTGAGGGTAGTGTAGTAAGGCCCAAATGGTTGGTGGTAATGGTGGATTATATAATCAGAAGGACTGATAGAATAATTTGTTGCCAGGATTGCCTCAACCGAATGGTTTGCTGTCTCCCTGGTGCCAGGGTTTGGCATGTGGTGGTCCGGGTTGATAAATTACTCGGAGGGGCTGGGCATGACCCAGCTGTCTTGGTCCATGTTGGAACCAGTGACAGAATATTTGGAAGGTGGAGGCTCCTTAAGAATCAATTTAAATAACTAGGCTTCAAGTTGAATGGAAGGACCTCCAAGGTGATATTCTCTGAAATATTACCTGTGCCATGCGCAACACAGGAAAGACGGGGGAGATTGGAGAACTGGATGCATTGCTAAAGACCTGGTGTAAGAGGGAAGGATCTGGGTTTCTAGAGCATTGGGCTGACTTTTCATTGGGGTGCACCCTATATGCTAGAGATGGTTTGCACCTAAATGGAAGGGGGTCTGCTGTACTGGGGCAGAGGCTTATGGGATGGCTAGAGGGGTATTTAAACTAGGTTTGAGGGGGGAGGGAGAAGTAGATTATAATGGGGCAGACAGATCAGACAGAGGTCAGTCCTTATTGGTGGGTGGAATGGGGAAAGATGGGGGGAGGGCTATGGCAGGTGATAAGGAGGTTCCCATGTTACAAACAACCATTGGAACTGGTACCATTTGTACGAAAATAAAAAATATGCAAAATACGTTAGCAAAAGGTGTCAATGAATTAAAGTGTTTTTTCACCAATGCCAGAAGTCTGCCAAACAAAATAGGTGAGTTTGAAGCTTTGGTGCATGAAGATCACTATGATTTAATTGGTATTGTTGAATCTTGGCTTCATTCTTCACATGACTGGGCCATTAATATTCCTGGCTATGTTCTCTTTTAGAGAGACAGGGTAAAAAGGAGACGTGGTGGTGTCTTTTTTTCTATTTTTCTATTTTCTATTTAGTTAATAATAATAATAATTTAGTTATTAAGTTTTTACAATTTATCGCTTCCATCAGTTAAAATTTCAACATAACTTATTCCATTATTTTCACTCCACATACAAAAAATACAAACTCCCCCTTCCCCCCCCTCCCCATCCCACCCCTTGACTCCCCCCACCCCCCCTCTCAGCATCTTTTCTCTTTCTTTTGGAGTCCTAGGGTATTCATTCATATAATTTTTCTTTCCTATACAATTTCAATTAATTTAACCTTCTTAAACTCCTCCCACTTTTTCCATTTCTCATGAAAACACTCCACTTTGTCCTCCTCTATACGGTATAGTTCTTCCATCTTGTATATCTGATCTACCTTTTTAACCTAGTCCGATATTCTTGGTGCTTCCTGTTCCACCCAGAATTTAATCAGGACCCCTCAGACCAATCAGACCCTTTGCTGCATTAATATAGTGTAATAACCCAGAATTTTTATACCTTTCAACCGTTAACTCTGTTCCATGTAAGAGACATATCCCTGGCTCCTTTAATATTTTTATCCCAGTTATTTCTTGTGTCAAGTGAAGTACATCTTCCCAATATTTTTGAATTGTGTGACATTCCCACCAAATGTGACCTACTGTGCCCTGTTCCCCACAACCCCTCCAACATAAAGGTGATTTCTCCCTATTTTGTTTGTGTACTATATTTGGTGTCATATACCACCTCGCCAGACATTTATAGTTCATCTCTACCTCTTTCATACTCACATTCCCGTGTGTTAACTTGTAAATCTTTTTTGTTTATCCTCCTCTATTTTTATTCCTAATTCTCTCTCCCGTCTCTCCATATATGCCGGTACGTTCTTGTTGTTAACTTAGTAAGAATTTAGTACTTAGTATATATTTTCGAAGTTCCATGTTTCCCATCTCCCCGTGTACTAAACAAATTTTCAAATGGCTTCCGTTGTTCTTTCTTCCTTAGGGGCCTAGGAAGTTTTTCTATGAAATGTTTTATTTGTAGATACCGCCACTCATCTACTTTAATAAACAACTCCCTCTTCTTCTTCAATTCTACTAAGGGACAGATTTCCTTGCCTTTCATTAGGTCTCTTAATTGGGCATCTCCCTTCCTTATCCATCTCCCTGCAATCTTTTCATTCCCCGGTGGAAAAAAAAACTGTGCTTACTATAGGCATCAACATAGAGTTACATTCCCATCCCATCTGTCCATGCATTGTGTCCCAAGCTCTCAAAACTATTCTTGTTAATACACTTGTACTTTCTATCAGTCCACGAAAGTGAGGTGGCAACCATATTATCCTATCCAAATGTGTTTTACTTAAAGTGTTTTCTATATTTATCCAACTTTTCCCCTGTGAGTTTTGTGTCCAATCAAAAATTTGTGCTATCAATACTGCATTATAATATCTTCTAAAATCAGGTACACCTAAACTCCCATTTTCTTTGTCTCTAGTTAGAACTTCATAACTTATTCTAAGTTTTTATTTCTCCATATGAACATTAGCTTAATTTTTTTTCATTATCCTAAAAAAATCCTGGCAGCTTTATTGGGATCATCTGTAATTTATGTAAACTTTGGGACATTTACCAATTTAATTAAATTTATTCGTCCTATCCACGATTTACCACCTATCCCAAATTTTCTCAATTTCATCTTTAATTTTGTTTAATAATGGAATATAATTTACTTTGTATAGATTCTTCATGGAGACAGTCAATTTTATTCCAAAATATTTTAATTCTTTTTCCTTCCAAGAGAAAGAAAATTCCCTTTGCAAGGCCTCTCTCTCTCATCTTGGAAGATTTACGGTATATTCAAGATTTCTGTTTTAGTTGGGTTAATTTTCAAGTTAGACAACTCCCCATATTCCTTCAATGTTTTCATTAAATTGGGTAATGTTATCCTTGGGTTACCTACATAAAAGAGCATGTCGTCGGCATATGCCGCAACTTTATGCTTTGTCTCACCAATCCTAACTCCCTTAATATCTGTATTTTTCCTTATTTTCTCTAAAAGGGATTCTAAGGACAGGACAAACAGCAGCGGTGACAAAGGGCATCCCTGACGTGTCCCATTATGAATCTTAAAACTCTCTGATATTTCCCTGTTGACCTTTATTGCAGCTGATGGTTGACTGTACAATTTCCCTATCCATATTCTCATTCTAGGGCCCACCCCCAGGACATTCAATGTATCCTACATATTCCCCCAGTCTACTCTATCAAATGCTTTTTCAGCGGACAGTAACAATACTGGGAATTTTTTTCTTTTACTTTTTTGTATGAGCATTATTGATCTTAATCCATTATCCCTACCCTCTCTCCCAGGGACAAACCCCACTAGATCCATATGGATCTACTCCAGCATTAGCTCCTTCAACCTACTTGCCAGCACTTTTGCATATAGTTTAGTATCTATGTTTAATAGGGATATCGGCCTATAACTAGAACACTGTGTGCTGTCTTTCACTTCTTTTGGTATTATTGTGATATGGGCCTGAAGGGATTCCTCCCTCATTTCCATCACCCCTCCCAATGTGTTCATGTATGTAGTTAATTTAGGTATCAGTTGGTCTTTAAATTTCTTATAGTATCTCACAGTATACCCATCCGGTCCTGGACTTTTCCTTGCCATAGTACTTTTCAGTGCACTATAAATTTCTTCTTCTGTTATTGCTCTCTCTAGGGATATTAACTGCTCCTCTCTCAATTTCGGTAGCCTAGCCTCTTCTAGGTATATCTGTCTTTTTTACTTATTTCTTCCTCATTTCTTATGGACTGTTGGGGATTGATGTTATATAATTTACTATAATATTCTTTAAACACTTTTGTGATATTTTTGGTAGAATATTTTAGTTCTCCTTTATTATCTCTTATTTTCTCTATATAATTTCTACCCTTCTTTTTTCTTTGAGCTCTCATTAGGAATTTTCCTGGCCTATCTCCCCACCGGTATCTTTCACTACTCATCTTATTAAACACTCTCCTTTTTTCTTCCTCCATTAATTTGTTTAGTTCTTCTCGTTTTTCCAATACCTTCTGCTTATTCTTTTTTGTTATATTATTTTAATGCACCCGCTCTAATTCAAATAATTCTCTAGTAAGTGTATTAATTCTCTCTTTCCTTTCCTTTTTCTTTTTTACCCCAATCGCTATTAAGATTCCTCTAATATATGGCTTGTGGGCTTATCATACAGTCGCCACCGACACCTCCTCAGTCTCATTTCTTTTAAAATATAATTCTATTTCTCTTTTTATTATCTGTTCCGTCTCCTGATCCTGAAGAAGTGTCTCATTTAATCTCCACGTATTTACCTTTTTTTGTTCTCTTCCCCATTTTAACCTTATTGTGACAGGTGCATGATCGGATAGCGTTATAGTTTCTATCCTTTCACCAAAGACTCTATAAGTCTATGATCTAGCAATATATAATCCA